AAGATGGTTCTCTTGGCCACTGTTCTCAAAGCTTCCTGAAGACTTTTGGTAGCATATTGTTGTATACCACTGAGCAATAATCATTTCTAGCTTTTGATTTAAAGTGAATGTTTAGAGCAGCAATTTTCCACCTGTGGGTCACCACCCCTTTTAACTGTATTAAAGGGTTGCGGCATTAGGAGGGTTGAGAACTGCCACTCCAGAGGAACAGTTGCAACATAACCTGCTTTGGGGGAAGAGAATTGCCACCCTTTTCTTGCCAACACTTCGGGGCCACTTCCCTTTTGTTGGCAGGTTTCCATCGGGAAAAATGCACACTGTTGGCTGATGTTTATTCACTGGATCAAACTGGTGAATCCAGATTTCATCACAAGTAATGTCAGAAACATATCTAGACTTGCCTGTTGAACTGACCAGCATTGCTTCACACCATTCCTCATGGATGTATTTATGCTCATCTGTCAGTGTGAGGCACCCGGTAGATGAAACTTTCCTGGCTCCAAGGTAATCATGCAGGATTTCTACCGGCAATCCAGCCTGTAATGCTGCTTCAGGGTCCTTGAATGCCACTCGATTGTTTTCACAACCATTTTATCCACCACAGTGATGTTTTTCCTCAGTCTCTGCAGCCGCAGATGCCCACGCCTCTCCTAATCTTTCAGTAAAGTTTCAGCCTCTTCTAAATTCTTGAAACCACCAAAAAATTATTGCACAGGCAGGAGTGAGGTCCCTGAAAGCCCTTTGCAAAGGGCTTTGAGATTCGTTTATCCCACTTTTAAACTCAGAAAATCATTGCACGAAAGTGCTCTTTCCCAGCTCCACGTTGATGCTGACTGAGTGCTGTGCAGGCCCTCCCAGCAACACCAATAAGCTGAGCAAGTCCAAACTTGCCTGGGTGAGTCAAAAAGGACGCCACTGTCCTCTGTGTTTCTTGGAAGTGAAATGATGGACCATAACACAGTCTGTCTCAAACTGTCCTAGTAACCTTCATATCTATTATGTAGTACTGAAGTCTAGGCTATTGTACCCGCCCCAGATAGTGTACATTGTACCCCATAGGTAACTTCATCCCTCCTATCCCCTGTTATGTCTTCAGTGTTCATTATACTAGTTGGTACGTCCTTACACAGCCATATTTACCTCCCACTTATAACTGAGAACCTGTGGCATTTATTTTTTGTTCCTAAGTTACTTCACTTAGGATAAATTACGGCCTCCAGTTCTATCCAAGGTGCTGCAAAGACATTACTTCATTTTTTCTTATGGCTCAGTAGTTCTCTCTGGTGCCACATTTTCCTTATCCGTTCATGAATTAATGGATTATATATCTTTGCAATTTTCAATTACAGTGATAAACATATAAGTGCAGGTATCTTTCAGATATAATGATTTATTTTCCTTTGCGGTTATACCCAGTAGTGAGACTGCAGGATCGAATGGTAGATCTACTTTTAGTTCTTTCAGAAATCTCCATACTGATCTCCACAGAAGTTATGCTGATTACCTTCCCTACCAAAACCATACGTGTATTAGTGTCCCTTTTTCACCATTATCTATTCTACCACTTATTGTTTATTGACTTTTTAATGATGGCCATGCTGACTAGAATAAGATAGAGTCTCCTGGTGGTTTTAATTTGTTTTTCTCTGATAATAATAAATGTTGAGTATTCATCTATCTTATTTTGAAAAATGCCCATCTGTGTCATTTGCCCACTTTTGGATGAGGTTGTTTTATTCTTGCAGAGTTGTTTGAATTCCTTGTAGAGTCTGGATATTAGTTCTTAGTTGGACAGAGAACTTGCAGGTATTTTCTGCTATTTGGTAGATTATTTCATTTGCTATACTGAAACTTCTTAGTTTAAGTCCTATTTGTCTATTTTTATTTGTCTTGCATTTGCTTTGGGATCTTAGTCATGAATCGTTTGCCTAGGCCAATGTCCAGAACATTTTTCCTCTTTTGGGTTTCTTCTAGGATTTCTTGAATTCAAGTCTTACATTTAAGTCTTTAATCTATCTGAAGTTAATTTTTGTATGTGGTGAAAGATAGGGATCTATTTCATTCTTCTGCCTATGGCTATCCAATTTTTCTAGCACCATTTTTGAATATGTCTTTTCCCACATGTATGTTTTTATCTATTGTGCCGAAGATCCGTTGGTTATAGGTATATGGTTTTATTTCCGGGTTTGCTCGTGTATTCCCTTGATCTGCATGTCACCTTTTATGCCATTACCATACAGTTTTGATTACTGTAGCCTTGTAGAATAATTTGAAACCAGGTAATGTGATGCCTCCACATGTATTCCTTTTGCTAAGTATTACTTCGCCTAAGTGGGCTGTTTTTTGGTTCCATATGAATTTTATAATTTTTTTTAACTCGTCAAAAGTCACATTGATATTATGATAGGAATTGCATTGAATGTGTAGATTGCTTTGGGAAGTACGGACATTTTAACAATATTCATTCTTCCAATCATGAACATGGGATGTTTTTCGATTTGTTTGTGTCATCTACAATTTCTTTCATTAGCAACTTTAGTTCTCCTTCTAGAGACTTTTCACTTTCTTGGTTAAATATATTCCTAGATATTTTATTCTTTCTTTCTTTCTTGGCAGTTGAGGGATGAGTTCTTGATTGGTTCAAGAACTCAATGGGATTGAGTTCTTGATTTGGTTCTCAGCTTCATCATTATTGGTATATAGAAGTGCTACTGATTTTTGTACATTGATTTTATAATGTGACAGTTTGCTGAATTTGTTTATCAAGTCTGAGAGTCTTTTGGGGGGAGTCCTTAAGGGTTTTTCAGGCATTAGATCATACCATCCATCAACAAGAAGAGATAAATTGATTTCTTTTTCAATTTGGATGCCTTTTATTATTTTCTCTTGATTGCTCTGGCTAGGAATTCCAGTACTATGTTGAATAGAAGTGGTGAGAGTGGGCATCCTTGTCTTATTCCAGTTCTTAGGGGGGAATGCTTTTAGCTTTTCCCCATTGAGTATGATGTTGGCTATGGGTTTGTCATATATGGCTTTTATTATTTTGAGGTATGTTCCTTCCATGCCAAGGATTTTGAGAGTTTTTTCCATGAAGAAATGCTGGATATTTTTAAATACTTATTCCACATCTACTGAGATGATCATATGCTTTTTTTAACATTCTGTTCATTGGTGAATCACACTTGATGACTTGCATATGTTGAATCATCCTTGTATCTTTCAGATGAAACCCACCTGATCATAGTGAATTACTCATTTGAGATGCTGTTAGATTAGGTTTGTTAGTATTTTGTTGAGGATTTTTGCATCTGTGTTCATCAGAGATAATGGTCTGTTGTTTTCTTTTTGTGTTGCATCTTTTTCTGACTTTGATGTCACGTTAATAACTGGCTTCACAGAATGAGTTAGGAAGGATTCCCTCCTTTTTGATATTTTGGAACAACTTTTATTTACCGAGTATTTTAAACGCACTGTTGAGATCTACTGTTCAGGAAAATAGTTTTCTTTCAAAATGTTACCGATCCTTGACAATGCATCTGCTCACTCAAGCGTGCCCATGGAGATATACAAGAAGATTACTGTTGTTGTAATGCCTCCTGATGCAAAATCCATCTCTCAGCCCATGGATCAAGGAGTACTTTTGACTTTTAAGTCTTATTATTTAGGAGATACATTTCAAAAAGCTATAGCTGCCATAGTTAGTGATCTCTCTGATAGATCGGGCAAAGTAAATTGAAAACCTTTTGGAATGGGTTCGCCATTCTAGATGCCAGTAAGAACATTTATAATGCATGGGAGACGGTAAAAATATCTCCATTAACAAGAGTTTGGAAGAAGTTGATTCCAACCCTGAGGGGTTTAAGACTTCAGTGGAGGAGGTGCAGATGTGGTAGAAATAGTGAGAAAGCTAGAATTAGACAGGGAACCAGAAGATACAACTGATTGCTGCAGTCTTATGATGAAACTTTCAGAGTTGCTTCTTATGGATGAGCAAAGAAAGTACTTTCTTGAGGTGGAATATACTCTTGGTAAATAATCTGTGAATATTGTTGAAATGACAACAAAGGATTTAGAATACTCCATAAACTTAGCTGATGGAGCAGCAGCAGGACTTTAGAGGATTGACTCTAGTTTTGTGAGTTTTATGGGTAAAATGCTGTCAAACAGCATCACATGCTAATAGAGAAATCTATCATGAAAGGAAGAGTTGGTCAATGTGCAGACTTCACTGTCATCATATTCTGAGAAATTGTCACAGCCACCCCAACTTCAGGAACTCCCATCCTGATCAGTTAGCAGCCATCAACATGAAGGCAAGACCCTCCACGAGCAAAAGGGTTACAACTTGCTGAAGGCTCAGGTGATCATTGGCATTTTTTTTTTTTTTTAGCAATATAGTCTTTTTCATTAAGGTGTCTATATTTCTTTTTAGACATAATGCTACTGCACACTTAACAGACTCCAGTGTAGTATATACATAACTTTTACATGCACCAAGAAACCAAAAAATTTGTGACTTTCTGAATTGCAATATTTGCTTTACCATGGTGGTCTGGAACCAAACCCACAATATCTTTGAAGTATGCCTGTAATTAATTCGTTGTATACTACCTGGCACAGCTATGTGGAAGAGGACATGTCTGTTTTTGCTGATAACACCTACAACAAGGAGTTTTGCTACTGAGGCAGATGTCTACATCTGTGCTTTTATTTTATTTATTTATTGATTTTTTGAGACAGAGTCTCATTTTCTTGCCCCGGGTAGAATACCATGGTATCACAGCTCACGGGAACCTCAAACTCCTGGGCTCAAGTGATCCTCTTGCCTCACCTTCCCAAGTAGCCGGGACTACAGGTGCCCACCACAACACATGGCTATGTTTTAGAGATGGGGTCTCACTCTTGCTCAGGCTGGTCTTGAACTCATAGGCTCAAGTGATCTACCCATCTCTGCCTCCCAGAGTGCTGGGATTATAGGTGTGACCTCTGTACTTTTTTTTTTTAATATGGAGTGCTTCACGAATTTGCATGTCATCCTTGCACAGGGGCCATGCTAATCTTCTCTGTATCGTTCCAATTTTTAGTATATATGGTGCTGAAGCGAGCACATGACATCTGTACTTTTATATATGATTGGCTTTTCAGGCTTTTCTTCTATTTGGAGATAAAACACTTGGAGATTATGTTTGGCTTTGAGGATATAACAAATTATGTTTTGTATATGAAAGATTTGTTCAGTGTAAAGAATTACTTTGCATACACACACACACATTTTTCCCTTAGCTTTCTAGGCTAAACGATGTGGATGTCTAGCTTTCCTTGGCTAACCAGTGGTTGGATAGACTGTAGAGGCAATAGCTGTGATGTGAACACTCAGTTCAACTCAGCCTGTTCAGTGTTCTGATGCATGAAACTTGCTTTTTTACTGCTTGTGCTGTGTTACTTCCCTTCTGTTTGTATTAGGCACGAATGACGGGCACACCTCTTTAGCCTGTAATTATCAGGAAGCTTTACTAGCACAACCTTTTACAAGGCTGTAGAGACATGGACTCATTATTGAGTGTAGGCAATGCTACAATAAACTTGATTCTGGTTTTTCGGAGTCCAAATCCAACAGCCCTGTCCAGGGCAAGCTGTGCTTTGCAGGCCAGCCCCTGGCAGCCAGCACGCAGGACACCACCCTTAAAATAAATCTTAGTTATTAGAGCCTTAGATCCAGGCTCTGCAGTCGTTTTGGGCAATGTTGTATGTAAAGATGGGCACATTGGTGGGATTATTCTGATATGAAGTATAGTTTGCAATATACGTTGATATATAAATTTTTTAATTGGAATTTAGAGCTCACTCTCGATTGATCCAGGGCAGACCATGAAAGGAAGAGCTCTGACTTTATGGCAAAAATAAATAGATCTTGAGTGCTGCCTTGAGAGCAGTGGTTCCTTAAGGAAGTTCCTCACCTCTCTGTGCTGCGGACAGCTGGTCTGTGAAGTTTCCATTAAAAGTAGCAACCCACAGTGTTGTTGAGAAAGTCCTAGTGAGAAGAGGAATGTGACAGTGCCCACCACAGAGCTCTCACCTAGTGGGGAGCTGAAAACATGGACACCATTTCCTCCTTTTGAGAATGTTAATAAACCAGACAAATGGAGGAATGGAAAATTAAACAACAACAGTAAACACTGACTTGCCCTGCCATGGGAAAGACAGCAGGCTCCTTTTTGCTATGTAACCTTTGTGTCTCTGGCAGTTTTTAAGAGGCATATAAGGAGACTTTACTCACAATGGCTACGGGATGTTTGTCTCTGGACTGAATCTCTATATCCCAAGGGACAGAAAGGTCTAATAAAAAGGAAAAGGTTTAAGACTTTTACCTCATTCCTTAAAAGCTAGCATGTTAGGGAGTTTAGTATTTAGAGGGAAGAGGAGTTATTTTGTTGTTGTTCAAAGGAATGAGAATAACCACTAGCATCAAGAATGATGCTGATCCTTCCCTGTGTGGAAGGAACCCAGTCTCAGGGGGAGACTATTCCCACAGGATGTTCCTGGGGCAGAATAGCTGCTGACCCCAGGAGGCTGTGTTTGCCCTGCCCATACGGGGAGCATCCACCCTCCCCAGTAGCACAGGGCAAATGGTCAGGGCTTCAGCCTGCTTCACCCAGACGGCTGGGAACCCGGCCTTTGGGTCTCCACTTCTGCATACCTTCAGCAATTATAGATCCTCTTATTTTTTAAAT